GTCGGCACCAAGTCCTACCCAAGTATTTGTTTGCCCATGAATCTAAAGTTAAAAGAAAAGCTTCCAGACGATTCAACATTTGACCTTCTGAAGGTCACATAAAAAAATTATAAAGTACCATTTTGGACGCAAAATTTCTCGCTCTTTCCAAATCCGGTGTCGAAAATAGGACTTTCCATTTAAAAAAATCAATGTCACCTTCAAATAACCTTGAACATTGACCTCAAGATCAGAACCAATAATGTACAATTATTGCCCCGATTATTTGTCCTGAACAACTTTTGTTTGAAACATTTTTCTCTAAAACATTTACTTTTCAAAATATTTCGGGTGGGGGATTAAAATGGGACACCCTGTATATTTATCCCTTTTTATGTGTGAACATTTTTGGGGATTTTAAGCAACACGAACAAACCTATATTTTTTTCATATTTGACTGACTAGTTAATTTTTACAAGTACAATTATCTTATCCACAACCTTTGCTTTTGCATGGTCCACAATGGGCTGTAAAAGCAAAGTTGTTGTAGACTATGGGTGCGTTCGGGGAGACGTTATTCACGCTATGAATGCAAACACTACCAATACTGTTTATGGAGCCAATAGCGCGATAACGTTAGCAAGCTCCATGAACGACTTTAGCGTAGCGTTAGCAGTGATTAACCAGAGAAATTTAATATTAGAGATTAAGTTAATGTAGGGGATTCTATTCTTTCAATCACTGACCAAACTTTTCTCTCTAATAATTTAAATTTGTAGAGTTTTGTAGAGTATATATAATGTGAATTTTTAATTTTTTTGTAATAAATAACAGAATGCAATCTCAATCGCAATTTCTATGATGATTTGCTGCTAGGCCGAAGTAAACGATGTAAACTAGATTAAAAAATTAATAGTTATACTGAGTAAATTAATCAGATAAAAGAAGGAATTCTTGAGTATCTGTTGTCGATTCAAGAAGAAACATATCTACGATCAATTAGGACCTTAAGCATCTGCAGTGTAATACCCTGCCGTGCTTTACCGCAATAACTTCTTCCCGCACACGGGAATCAAAAATCGCTAGTAACAAGATGTTTTCGACCTTCTACACATTTGTAATGAAATCAAATACACAAGTTGAACTGCAGAAACTTTCAAAAATTAAAGATGATATTTACACAAGCAAGAATTACGTTCAGCCTATTACTCTAGCCTAATGGTAAGACATCAATTGCAAAGATGGAAATTGAGATTGCATTCACTACGATAAAATTGAAAATTCACACGTTACGTTTACTCTATGAAATTCTAAAGAGAGAAAAGTTTAGTCTCAAGAACAGAATCCACTCGAACGGGGATTAATCTAACCTCGACGAATGTTACACGCTACCAACGCTACGCAAGAATCGTTCACAGAGCTTGCAAATGCTAATGTCAATACACTACCTCGAAAGGAATATCATTGATAGCGTGCCGTTATGACGTAAGGAAGCGTTTATGTTGGCCGTAACCATATGCCGTAATCTGTAAAAATTAACTAATCACAGTCGAGTATTCTCCTCTCATTAGATGGTAAGAAGGAAGTACTCGAAGTAATTAGTTAATTTTTACAGATTACAGCATACGATTACGGTAAATATAAACGCTCCCTTAAGCTTGTTCTACAAAGGGTGCTTTCTGTTTGATGACACAAGTTGACACAAGCGTTGTTCTATTCTTCTTGACATTCAGAGAGTGACAAAGATAAAATGATACTTATATTGACTTGTATCGGCTTGTATCATCAAATGGAAAGTACCCAATAGAGTTGCAAGCTGTAAGTCGTAAGAAATTAACCAATCATAGGCGATTATTTTTGTCATATTCAACTATGACTGGCCAATTTCTTACGGCTTATGACTTGCAACATATGTCTGTAGAACAGACATAAGGGCTGCCACAGACAAAATTTCTGTAACAGTAACCTTAAGGCGTGAACTTAAGCCGATGAGCCAGTCAGGCTACTGCTTTAGATCTACGTACTCTAACGGAAATAGAAATAGCAGTAAACTTATCCATAAGGCGAGTTAACCGGTTTAAATTCATTTTATTGTGAGGTTATGTATAAGTTTACTGTTATTTCCATTTCCATTAGATTATGTAATCTAAAATAGTATTCTGATTGGTTCATCGGTTTAAGTTTATACCGTACGCATACTGTTACGGAATTTTATGCGGCAGCCCTAAAGCGTCGTCTACAAGAACAGTAGCAGTAGAGGCTGTAGACACATCAGAAGTAAGCTGGTTTTCTGACTCAGAAATGGTTGATTCATTGATGTCAAATAATCACTTGTAGTTGAGGATATAATAGAGTAATATAGACTGTAGAGTAAGTCCGTAAACGAAATAGATTTTAATCATTTCTCTTATAAGCTTACTCTACGCTTTAGTATGTACATTCACCGACTAAAAGATTGCAACAGATTTTTTTTAATGGTTTTTGGAATGCAGCCTACTCACTGAGCAATTGGTGGTTCCATAAGTAAAAACTAATCACTTGGTGAGCAAACTGTATTCCGAAAACCAATTAAAAAAAAGTATTGCAACTTTTTAGTGAGTGTACACTCCCAGCTATAAGTGATTGATCGATCAATATCGAATTAATGTCGACGTTGAATCAGCATCGATTTGACGTTAATCGATCAACCATTTCTGGCTGGGCCGAAAAATTAGCTTATTCCCGATGTGTCTACAGTTACTATTCCTCTGTCTACTTCTACTGCTACTGTTTATTGACTGTATTCCAAAATGTACTGAAAATCTATGCACGTAATGTAAACTATAGATTTTTAGTACTTAGCAGTGAATTTTGGAATACAGCCGTTGTAGACAAAGTTGTGCTTAAAGCGCACAATAGAAGGAATAAGGAATTAGGGAGTAAAGAATAAACGATTTCAACTTATCAGAAATCGTATATTCCGATGTACCCGATTTCTTAATCGATAGATTAAAATCGTTTATTCTTTATTCCTAATTCCTTGTTTCTGCTATTGTGCGCAAGACCTGACAGGCTTAAATCGCTACTGTTAGACTTTGCGCACAATAAAAGGAATATTTTAACTTATCAGAAATCAGATATGTCGGAATACACGGTTTCTGATAGATTGAAATCGTTTATTCTCTATTCCTAATTCCTTATTCCTTCTATTGTGCGCAGGATCGACGTCATGTTAGTGACGTCATAATCGTGTTTGTTAGCGCTATCTGCAACTCCATAAAGTCCAGATAGCGCTAATAGCGCGAATAATGCTTCTTCACGACTTCCCGAACGCACCCAAGGTAAATCACAATTATGCTTACAGCTATTGTAGAACATAAAGCTCTATATATCAAAGTAGTGCATTTCTTTGATCTGAGCCGAAATATCGAGTCTTTCTATTGGCTGTTTCGACCGCCATTTGTGACTCAGCTCCAATAAGCGCTTAGTATTATTGATATAGAGTATGGTTAGTAAGTAAAAAATGGAAGACCTATGCGTTACTTTGATATATAGATCCGTACTCAGAACGCGCTTATAACGATGTTAGCGCACTAAAGCGTGATTTACACTGGGCTACTTTTATTCGCTAGAAGCCGTGTCTAGTCACATCATTAATTCGTCGGCGAATTCTCTCGACTCTTCTGCTATTCGCGTGAAGCAAGCTTTTTAATTCGTCAGCGAATTTGTTGATGAAAGCTTCTTTTACACGTTTAGTTTTTATTCGCTAGCGATAAAATTTTGAAGTCGCAGCGTCGAGTAGTTGCTAATGATCAAGCGAATAGCTGGGTACAAAGCACAACAGCGACTCGAAGTATGTACGTCATTCGATGACATGGTTATTCTCTGATGCTTGTGGTCCGAGTGGCCGTTCCGGAAAAATTCGTTTTTTTACACTGACGACTTAAAAATTCACTCTGGAAGAGCAGCAAAAGCTAGTGACAAACATCGAAAGCGGTATTCGCCACGACTATACGCTAACAAGAACAAACTCGCGCCTAGAAGAAGTTTTTAGGCTACTTCCTCTCCGGGGAAAATTTTACTCTGGCCATGGTACGATTCATGCTGACAACGCTCATGAGCATCGTTTGTCTTCATTTATTAAACAACATTTGACAAACAACAAGGATAAAATGATTTTTAAGCGTGTGAGCATGAATCGAACCTCGCGGCCTTATATGCTATAATACACGTTATGTGTACTATATATTTTGAGTAAAATTTTCCTCGGAGAGGAAGTTTTGGAACGTAGTCGTAATAACGAATTCGCTATCACTAGACGCAGCTTCTAGCGAATAAAAATCGTGTAAATTACGCTTATAACATACTATATTTTACGTTACGCATATTATAGAATTTCAAAGATAAAAGCGCGTTACGGGCCATAGACTATAAAATTTTGGTAGGAAAGTTCTCCAACAAGTGACACTGTACGAAATGGTGATTTACATCTCTGTTTAACATTGGCGAACAACAAGGATGCAACGAGTCACTATGTCATACCGTGGATACGGTCAACGCGATGCTACAAACGCTTTGAAACGTTTTTTAATTGATCAGTTTGTAAAATTCTTTCTCCTAATTGGTTCATCAAATGTTTCAAAGTATTTGTAGCGAGACTTTGACCACAGCCCGTGTCATCTGTGTCTCTTGTTGGAAAGCTCCCTAGAACAGGCATTATATTTTAGCACAATGGTTTAATCCGAATCAGAATGTAAGAAGTAACCAACTAACAGTCGAGCATTCCCCTGTCGTTCGACTATAATGCTTCCGGCACTAGCGCGATGTTCGCCGCGCGCGTCACGCGATAGGAACATACTCGATTGTAATTGATTGGTTGATTCTTACATTCTGATCCGGTTAAAATCCTCCGTGGAAACTAGGCTAGTGATGCCGGGTGAATATTGATAGACAAAAAGATGAAAAAAAAACTGCTTACAGCATGTGAGCACGCTTACAGCATAACAAACAGAATGTATATAATTCTAATAATTGATGTTTAGGAAAGTAAGATCTGGGACATTGGATGTCCATCCAACTGAGAAGGCTCTGGTAGTAAATTATGATGTTGAGGCATTAATATTGGGGGAACTGGGAGATCCTATGCTCGGCGATCGTAAAGTACGTTTTCTTAAATAAATAACTGACTTGCAAGAGCTAAGCTATTGTACGTTTGTCATTGTATACAGGAATGTCAAAAGATAATCCGATTGAAGAGTTTAAACGCCGACACAAACGTTTCTCTCTTAGCCAAAGAGGTAATGGAAAAGTGCTCATTGATACACGAATCTAAACTGCACGAAGTTGAGCAATTGATTTATTATCTACAAAATCGTCGAACCAATGATACCAGTGCAGGTGATGTAACATGATTTTTATATTTGTTGTTTTTATATGTTTGAGATTCAGGAAGTTTAATAAATTTATAATTTTCTTAGGTAATGATAATAATTCTCAGCCGCCACGACCGGCATCATCGAATTCATTGATCACAGAGAACAGCGAAGTTGAACGTGCAGTCATTAGTAACATCGATAGTTATATTGAATTATTATACGAAGAAATACCAGGCAAAATTAAAGGTTCATCGTTAATTTTACAATTAGCGAGGGTACCTGATAATCTTTTGGAATTGACAAAAAATGGTAATTTTTATGTTATGTATTTTTTTCTATAAATAATTTTAGATTATTTTAATTTAATTCATAATAGTGATAAGAAAATTATGTATCATTGAAAATATTTGTGATTAATATAATATATTATGAGATTATCTTTTTGTTCATACAGAATCGTTATTAAGTGCATTAGCTCGAGTTCTAAGAGAAGATTGGCGGCGCAGCATAGAACTGTCCACAAACATCATTTATATTTTCTTTTGTTTCTCAACGTATAGTCAGTTTCATAACATTGTGCTCGAATACAGAGTAAGTTGCAAAACTGTTGATAAAACTTGAAAAGATTAGACCTTTGGAACTATATTCATATTTTTTTTCTTTCATATATTTAGATCGGTTCTCTTTGTATGGATATAATTGATTTTGAGTTACGTCGCTATGACCAGTGGAAGGAGGATATGGAGAAACGTCGGAAACAATTTGAAAACACCACTGGTCTAACGTTTTTCCCAGCAGGCAATAATGACAACTGTGATAGAAAGATTAGAAACATTGATGATATTTGGAATATGGAAGGTCCGTTGGATTATGAAGTTAAGAAACGATCTATGGAAGTATCTATAACCATCTCTGAGAGTGATGTTAAGAAACTGAAGGAGGAATTAGAAAAAAGTCGCAAGAAGTTTAAGAGTTTGACTAAGAAGCAAGAGCAACTGTTGCGAGTAGCATTTTATCTACTCTTAAATATTGCCGAAAACGCTATGGAAGTCGAAAGGAAAATGCGTAAAAAAAATGTTATTGGTATGCTGATTAAAACATTAGACAGGACGAATACAGACTTGTTGATCCTGGTTGTTACATTTTTGAAGAAGTTATCTATCTTTCGCGAAAACAAAGATCTTATGGTAATATTAAATATTTTATATAAATATCATATGAAAAAATGTATCTTATATAAAAATGTAAATGTACACCCACATTTACAGATAGAAGAAAATATTATAGACAAATTACCGAGACTTTTACAAAACAATAATGCTGACCTTGTGCTAAGCACTTTAAAATTGCTATTTAATCTTTCTTTTGATGCTAAATTGAGAGCAAGAATGATTAGAGTGGGTATGTTACCAAAATGGATAAAGTTGCTCAGTCAAGGTAAGATTTGTATTGATACATATCTCGTTTTTACATAGAATAATGTATAAAAAATGAAAATTCTACATAATCTTCAATATATTAATTCTATATACATTGTCAATATTATATTCGCAGCAGATATAAAAAATAAGAGCACAATTGTGGGACTACTTTATCATGCCAGTATGGATGACAAAGTGAAAGCAATGTTTACAAATACAGATTGTATTTCAATGGTAAAAATCTATAAAGTTTTGATATAAATTTAACAAGTTTGAAATTAACTGCATAATATTTGTACATTCTATTTAGGTAACGAACATGGTATTAAATTCTGAAGATGAACATGTAAGATCTGAATTAATAGCACTCGGCATAAATTTAGCTATTAATAATAAGAATGCGCAACTGATGGTGGAAAACAATCATTTACAAGGTCTCATAAAAATTGCATTTAGAAATCAAGATGCCCTTGTAATGAAGATGATTAGAAATATTTCCCAACACGATTCGATACAGGAAAATTTTGTCGTGAGTTGAAACAATGTTAGGATTAATATAACAAATATAACTATTATCGTAATTTTTGCTCATATATATTTAATAGGAATTTGTGGGTGATTTCGCAATGGCCTTGACTCAGTCTGATTCTCAAGACTTTGTACTGGAAGTGATTGGCGTATTAGGCAATTTGGAATTATCTGATTTGGATTATTCTCAAATCATTCAACGCTGCAATCTTATACCATGGATACGTAATAATTTGGTTCCAGGTATGATCCCTTTTTCTTTTATCTTGTATTATTTTTTGTATTTAATATTAATATATAGAATTGAATATATATAATAATATTAAATCTCAGTCTAGATTTTGTTATATCGGTTTTTATATCTATAGGTAAAGCGCAAGATGATATAGTTCTTGAGATTGTCATATTTCTCGGCACTGCAGCTCATGATGAAGATTGTGCTCGTTTGTTATGTAAGGCTGATATACTTCTTTCTCTTATTGAACTGCTTAAAGGTATGTATTAAAAAGCAAACATACACAAAAAACCTTATATATTTTAACCATACGTTTATGTCCTAACAAGTATTATTTTCAATATGTAATGTCATTACAGCCAAGCAAGAAGATGATGAAATGGTTTTACAAATTATTTATATTTTTTATCAAATTGCAAAACATGATTCAACCCGAGATTATTTAATTCGCGAGACCGGTAATGGTAATATATAATCAATTTTCTCAATCATTAGATTTAAATAAGATAGATAAAGATGCATAAAGTAGTATGGCAAGTGTTGTAAATATATTTAAAGGAGACGCCAATAAGAGTCTAGACATCAGCCGTAGTTTTATATGCAAGGTAGTAGTTTTAACAAAAATCTGTAAGAGAGAAGGATACACATTTACTATTTTTTTCTTTTTCTTCTTTTTCTTTCTCTCTTTCAGGAATTGTTAAAACATGATGGACTAATCAAAAGTGGCTTTCTCATATCCATATCATGGACTTGTATATGTTACACTAGACTACTAAAGCCCTAAACACAAGCACAAGCTCTACACGAGGCAATAACGATAGCAATAGAAATAGCAATAGCGATAGTCAACAATGATAGCAATAGAAACAGAGGAATCCAACATATGGAAATGCATATGTCGATGCACGTAGGAATATGGAATAAGGCAACAGCGATAAATTTCCGACAAATTGAAATCTCTGTATCTATCGCCTTATAACATACCAATCAGCGTTCAAATTTTTCACTCTATTTAAGTCCATAGCACATACAAAGACTTAATAAGGAAATCATAACATAGGATTCACTATTAGTCTTAATATCTTTACTATAATTAACTAATTTGTTTACTGTTTATATTTTATTGCCTAACGTTTTTGTATGTACCATAGGCTTTATATGTGCTATAACTTTGAAGCAGATGGAAGAATATACTACAGTCTATATAGATCAAATTGGCATTTTTATTTCTTTATGGCATTGTGCGGAAGGCGACAATTATATATCCCTTATTTCTATATCATTTCTATTGCTATTTTTGTTGCTGTTGCCTCACAATAGACCTGTTCTTTTTGGCTGAACTTTTGCACCAATTCATCTTTCTTCCTCTTCTTTCCTCGTAGAGGAAAAAGGAAGAAAGATGATTTAACTATAAAGAACAGATCTCTTGTGTCTAGGACTTAACTCCAAATTTCCTTACATAAAGGTACTGCCTGCTCAAATTAGATGTGCAGAATAAGACCGTCATGTGACCGCACAGAACAGAGATGCCAACAGGTCGTGTGATCAGCCTCTCTGTAATTGATTCAAGATATTGATCATGGTCCACTTGACGCTACAAATGCTTTGAAACATTTTTTAATTGGTCAGTTAGTAAAATTCTTTTTTTCGATTGGTCAATCAAAAGCATTTATAGCTCTCTGATAGGTAGTATCTATACCTCTCCGTGATTGATTCAAGATATCATATGTATATCTCTTTGTTGATCGAATCAGAGAGAAATCTGAGAGAGAACATGTGAGCCTTTTTTCTGTAACCACAAAATGCCCCCACGCACTACTGTCCTCTGAAGAAGTGCATGTAAACTACAATATCCATTTTTTTGCGGTGCTTCTGATGGAAATAAATCGCTGAAATAGCTAAAATATATCAAATTAAAAGAGATTTCAACAATTTCAGCGATTTATTTTCATCAGGAGCACATCCACTTCTTCATAGAACAGTAGTGTACGAGGCAAAATCTACGATTACAGGAAAAAGGCCCTCATATCCTCTCAGGTTTCTCTCTGATTGGATGCATGATTGGGCTCTTATTCTTAAAAAGAAATGAAAAACTAGAGATATCCCTGGTAAAAAAAAGTTGATAGAGTACGATAGAAAAATCTTATTATTTGAATATAGAATCTGATTCGTGAATTCATTAATTTGAATCAGATCTTAGGAATTACAAATATTATAGAATCCGATAAAATACAATAGGATTCGTATTCGATCAATCGTGATGCTCGCGAGAATAGAAAATGATATAAACTAATAGAAAACGATACAAATTGATAGAAATCCTATTATTTTCAATCATTCTCTATCAATTTCTTTTTCCCAGGGATACTAACAGGTATCCGTAATACATATTATAGTATTTCCCTAGTTTTTCATGTAGGTTTCTTTTCAAGAATAGAGGCCCTGGTGTGGGTCTTATTTTGAGCATGCATATATCTTTGACTATTTTTTGGCAGCAGTTAAAGAGTTAGGATACGTTCGAAAACATCACTTTTTTGTGTAACTTGAAGTTACTTTAGTTGGAAAGTATTGAGTGTAAAAATGGACAAACGTCGCCGACGAAATATATTATTAGGTGTTTGAATTCTCGTTGTTGATTGAGAAAGGTCAGTATTTGTACTTTTAACATGGCCGAAAGTGACTGCTAACGTATATGAAAGTACTGTCAATAGGCTTTAATAATTAGTATGTAACATTTGATTGGATACAAAGAACACAATTTTTTATCGCATTAAAAATATCGGGTTTCGTACAAAAAAAAACATTTGCAGGAAGCATTACTTTTCTGTTTTAATCTCAAGAAATCTGCTGTTGAAAGTCATCGTTTGCTATTGGAGGCTTATGGGAAGCTCTATTTGAAACAACTTACAGAGATTGATTTAGAAGATTCAAAAACAACGATTTTTACATGAATGACAAAGGGCGTTCTGATAAGCCGAAAAAGTTTGAAGATTACTTCAAGAAGATTCATGTCAGACGCTCAAAGAGTTGTTGTTGAAACATTAAATGTAGATGAGTCAAACGTTAGTAAACGTTTAAAAGCAATGGGAATGATCCAAAAGCTAGGAAATTGGGTCTCACATGAACTGAGAGAAAGAGACTGTTCCGTAGTCGCTTTACTGATAGTTAAGTAAGACGGCGTAAATAGTGTCATTCTTACATAGATTTGACTCAATTGGATGATAATCTCGTCAATAGAGACATTGCGAAACATTTAGCTATTTGTGAATTGCTGCTTCAAAGACGAAAACGGAAGTTGGTTTTGCATCAAATTGTAACTAGCGATGAAAAATGGATTCGTTACGACAATCCTAAGCGCAAGAAATCATAAATGTTTCCCGGCGAACCATCAACATCAAGGTCATACTGTACATTTGATGAGATCAAGTAGGTGTAGTACTATGAGCTGCTGCCGAGTCAAACAATCAATACTGAACATTATCGACATTAATTACTCAATTTGAATCGAACACTCAAAGAAAAACGCTCGCAATAAGCCAAAAAATATGACAAAGTTATTCTTCTTCATGATAACGCTAAACCACATGCAGAACCAGTGAAGGAAATTTTGGAGGCATTTGGAAAGGATGTCTTACCTCACTCATCCTTCACCAGACAGTGATGCTCCTTCAGATTACTATTTGTTTAGGTCAATGCAGCATGGTCTTTCTGAGCAGCATTTCAGTTATTTCTAAGATATCAAAAAATGGCTCAATGACTGAATAGCATCGAAAGAACCTAAATTTTTCTATCACGGATTCCATTTGTTACCCGAAAAGTGGGAAAAGATTATAGCTTTCGATGGACAATATTGCGAATAAAATATTAGATACCTTTTTGATGAAATAAACATGAATTTTTGTAACAAAAACAGCGAGAATTAATTCAAGCATCTAATACGTAGGCTGCTGGAAAAGTTTTCTGCAAACAATATGAAAAAAAACATGTAAAATCCAGTAAATGGCTTTAATGTGTTTCGAAGTATTCGCCTTTAAGATCGAGACATTTTTGCATACACTCGAACCAATTTTCGAAGCATTTTTTCCACTCTAAGACTGTAACCTCAGAAATCAGTGTACGAAATGTTTCAACAGCTGCTTCAGGTTCAAATCGCTCACCACGCATCTTATTTTTAATGTTTGGGAACAAAAAAAAATCATTAGGTGATAAATCAGGTGAATACGGACAATGAGTCATCAATTCGACATTATTACTAGATAAAAAATCAACAGTTTGACGTGCTGTGTGACAGTTGTCATGATGAAGGATGATGCGACGATTTGTTCTACGCAATTCATTTATAACTTCTGGTAAACAAATTGTTGTATACCAATCAGTATTTACAATCCTTCGATCCTCTAAAGCCGGTTGTTATATGTCCGGTATAACCGAAGAAACAAGCAATCATTTGCTTGGCAGCACTGCGTGAATGAACAACTTTTGTTGGTTTCGGTTCATTTTGAAATACCCAAACAGTGGATTGTTGTTTACTTTCGGGCTCATATGAATAGATCCATGTCCCCAGTAACGATGTTGTAGACCAAATTTGACCGACCTTGGTTGAATTTCTTGAGCATTTCTTTGCTCCATTTAACACGAGCCTGTTTTTGAGCTTCGGTCAAATTGTGTGGGATCCAACGACTGCAAAGATTCCGTACGCTCAAATGATCATGCAAAATCGTATGTATTGCTTTCATGTCAATGCCTAAGGATGCCTGAATCTCGCGGTATGTTATATGCCGGTCTCGCTCAATCATTTCACGCACAGCATCAACATTAGTGGCAACAACAGACGTGGATGGACGACCTTCACGGAATTCATCTAAGAAAGGTACGTCCACGCTGGAATTCGGCAAACCAATTATAAGCAGGATATCCTATTGGATAGTGTTTCATCTCCAAAAGCCAAATGAAGTCGATCGATGCATTGTTTTGGAGTTAGATTACATTTGTAATCGTAAAAAATCATTGCTCGAAAATTTTCACACGAAATTTTCTTACAAAATAACTTCTTTTAAAATACTACGCAAACAAAACTAGTTTGGATACAAACTGTCAATTGAATTATAGGTTAAAAACGTCTAATTTTACGGATATGATAGTAGGACGTTGACGCCACTGGAAGTACTAGATTGCAGAAACTTCCAGCAGCCTACGTATATACATATATAATATAAATATGTAATATGTATATATAAAAATATGTCAAAGGAACAACAGATTAGATTGGCTGGATATTAAACAAACATAATATCCGAATTATCTTTAAACCATCCAAAAAGATAGGACAAATCTTAAAAAATCCTAAAGATCAAAGACCTTCACTCAGCTCCGCAGGAGCATACAAAATATCTTGTTCCTGTGGATAAGTATACATTGGAGAAACTGGGAGAATGGTCAACCTACGGATAAAAGAATACCAACGTGATCAGGTTAAAACGTCACGCAGTCAGCATTATCAGAACACAACATCGAAATGGGACATCAAATACTGTTTGATAAAACGACCACAATAGCCAACATTACTTCATACTTTCCAAGAAAGTATAGAGAAGCCATAGAGATACAGAAACATCCTAACAATCTAAATAGAGGTAATGGCTACAATATAAATAAGATGTGGAAGGCCATTCTCCCGATTATTGAGGACTGACCGATTTCTCCTCTCCTCTTCCCCCCCCCCTCATCCACAATTCTCTTCTTTCCCCCCATCACTCCAATAAGTAGCGTATAAAAAAGAACGGCTCAGAAGAACAGCTCAGTATCAGGCTGCTCTTCGCCCTGATGAAGTGGACTGCAAGAAACGTTGGCATTTCAAGAATAGATTTGGACACGGAGAAAACTAGCGAAACGCATAACTTTTATACAGAAAGCACCCGTGGAAGCTTCAAGAATATTAATATGTATATATTATATATTGGGAGTATAAATAAGTTTCCGCCGTTTGACAAACAATGGCACTACCACCAGTATGTTATAGTTAAAATTGTCAGCGTAACGTTGTAAAACGTCATATCGTAAGGTTGGACATCTGGCAAGAACATAACCTTGAAATATTAGCGATTTTGCATCAGCATCTTATATCTTTTTTCGTGCGAAAATGTTTTGAGCCGAATAAGCATCATTTGCGGGAGCTTTTGATTTACTTCTTTAATTTGAAGAAATCTGCAGCTGAGGCGCATCGATTGCTTGTAGAAGCATATGGTGAGGCTGCCTTAAGTGAGAGAAGTTGCCGTGAGTGGTTTCAAAAGTTTAAGAACGGTGAATTTGACGTCGAAGA